TAGCCCTAAGCACCTTTAATTAGCTCATCTCCACGCTAAGCCAGTTGGTACCGAGAGTTGCCCTTTCTTTCTTCATTGGAACTTCATCATGACTAAAGTACACTTGGAAGCCTATGGTTTACTTGAAGGTGACTAAGCAAAATAGGTTACACCTCAAGCCTTAGGTGCAAGACAAGTGGAACAATGCCATTGGCCAAAAATTTTACCTTCAAATTTCACCATCATCCGTCCACATATTTAAAGGTAATATTGGGCAAGATGTTACTTTATTCCTAAGACAATACTCAGCAAAGTTTAGAGATTTCTTCTCTAATTAAACCTAAGTTAACGCACGTACACTTGGAGATAAAGCAACATGCGCACGCAAGGTCCCGTTTACAAGAAGTCACGTACAGTTCAACGAAAGATCGAAGAGGTAACTTCGTTTTTATCATCTTCCTAAGTTAATATGGCCATTTTGGGTGTACCATGTTCAGCTCATGATCCTTGACTCAAGTATAGTCGAGTTATGTGCGGTTTCATGCCTTTTATGTCATGACCGAGTAATACCCGTTTTGATCCGACAACTCCCGAACCCTTCATGTCGATTTGATCATGATATGTCAATATAGGTTTAAATAATTCATGTTTGTTGAGAAAATTTCATGTTCGATCAATGAATTGGCCAAGGGACGTGAGCTGCGCACGTAGCGCACGCCCACGGGCCATTTTATGCCTTGTCATATCACCTTTTATTGTGATCATGATTATTTGAGCAATTCATGTTTAATTGGTTATTTTAGGTCATTTTATAGTCAGTTAAGTCAAGTTGGTCGAGAGAATTTCGTGTTTAATCGAGGGATTGGCTTAACGCCGAACATGCGCGTGCGGTGCGCATGCCTCGAGACACTTCGAGTCTATCGAGCAAAGTTCATGAATTTTGAAGAAAATCGGTATATGTGACCATGTCATGTTATTATATGTTGAGTTAATTGGGAGTTGCCGGAGAAGGTCGCCGGACGGCCGACGAGGGTCTGCCGTACTTGCGATGTCCGCATGTCGCGGCCGCAGCGTACCGACAAGTGTGCATGGTGTGAGTGGTGTGTGGTATAGCCGCCGCGTGTGGCCAGTACCGCAGCAAGTAGTTGTTGGCAGTGAGTATATGCACGCCAATGTTCAGTCGTGTACGTTAGCGTGCGGTAACGCATGCCAGATTGCACAGTCGCACGTCAGTAGCGCCCGCGCAGCGCCAGATATGTCCAGCCAGCGCCTGTGAGCGCACTCACGATTTAAGCAGCACGTCGCGGTGTGCGGTAACACCCGACCGTGGCCAGTCACGCGGCAGCCGACGCACGTAGCGTTCGGCAATGCCCAAGTCACGACCCGATGAGCCTAATTCATGTCAGCCATGGCCAGGTGCACACAGCACCCTTGGCAGTGACCAAGGCAGGCCCTGCAGTGGCCGTGGCCGCACCCAGTCCCGTCAGCCGCCGTGCCGTAACCGCAGCAAGGCCGTGGGCCGAGTCAGCCGTCGACCGGTCGGCCTCAGCAGACCGGCGGTCCGGCCAAGCCGGTTCAGATCCGGTTTAGATCGGTTTGAACCATATTTTAATATTTAAATCTTGGTTCATGTTTTAAGTTCCAATTTCAGTTAAATTCCGGGTCTGGTCCAGTTCAGTAAATTTATATCAGTTCAGTTCCGTGTTTAACCGGTTTCTGTTATACCGATTAAATCCAAATATCATGTCAAGTCCAGTAGAGCATCTTAACATTTTAAACAGCTATTTTTATCAGTCTGAGCATAGTATTTAGTAATTGTTTATATTATTTTTTAGTTTGATCAGGATACATATATCAGCACTTACATTTTCAGAGCAGCAGTTCAGGTGGGGACTCAGACTGGGTATTACATTGATTATAATTATTCTACCATGTTTGAGGTATGTATTATCAGTCAGTATCCGCTCAGAATGGTCGTCGGTTTATTCTGGGTTCTAGTGGCCTTAATCTGCACACTAGAGTGTGCACATGGTGTCCGGCATTAGCTTTTTGCCGGCAGATGTTCAGGTATCAGGCAGGTGATGATATTATCTCACCATCAGTATCAGATCATAATTATCCAATACCGGTTTCATGTTCATGTTCATGTTAAGATCATGTTATTGTAATTATTTTTACTGTTTACTTCAGTATGAGTTTCCACGGAGCACGGTGGATGTTAGTGCTCACGCCCCACTTTTATCATGTTTTTCAGGTCATGGAGTCGGGCAGGAGGTGTGAGATGACGATCGGTTCAAGATTATGCTTATAAAGTTTAAATTATACGGGAGTTATGCTTATAAAGTTTAAATTACATTTTGTATAGTTTGAATTTAGCATAGCAGTGCTGTTGCTATCTCCCGTAGGCTTATTTTCACGATAACAGCACTATTATTATGTTTTGCCGCTACAGTTTCCGCTGACCTTTCACTGTTTGTCAAACTTAGTCCATTCGATCAGTCAGCAAGTTGTTAGTTTGTTTTTCAAAAACAAAAATTCAGACTTGTCAGTCAGTTATGTATTTTAGTAGCACTCCGAATCAGTACTTCGCAATGATAAAGATTCAGTTTGTAATTATTAGCGAAAAGCGCACTCTGATTTTCATGTCAAGGCGGGGTGTTACACAGGAGGTGGGTGTTTTCTTGATGTAGAGTGAGGAGTCTGATTTGGAGTTTGTAAAGCCAAGGGAGAGAAGAGATTGTTTCAGCTTGGTGAACCATGCCCTTGGTGCTTGTTTGAGGCCATAAAGTGACTTGTGGACTTTGCAAACAAAGTGAGGTTGGTGAGGATCTTCAAAACCAGGTGGTTGAGTCATGTAAAGCTCTTCAGTGATATCTCCATGTAGGAAGGAATTGTTGAAGTCTAAGTATTTGATACACCAGCCATGAGAAATAGCCAAGGATAGGACTGCTCTAATGGTTGTTGGTTTGACCACAGGGCTGAAAGTCTCATAGAAGTCAATGTCTGCAGCTTGGTTATATCCTTTGGCTTCTAGCCTTGCTTTATATCTGGCTACGGTGCCATCAGCATGCCTTTTGATCTTAAACAACCATTTGCATCCAATGATGGATTTATTAGGAGGTGGAGGAACAAAGGACCATGTATTATTGTCCATAAGAGCTTTGTACTCTGATTGCATAGTTGTTTTCCAGTCTGTGTGAGAGAGCGCTTCCTTGTAGGAAGAAGGTGTTGGGTCATGTGGCTGAGTAGTGAAGACCCTGGGATTCACAAAACCTGTCTTAGACCTGGTAATCATATGATGTAGAGGTGGATTATCATTAGTAGGTAAATTAGTAGTGGCAAAGTTGTCTCTCACAATTGGCAAGTCTACATTGAGGGGTATAGTGGAATATGAATCAGAAGTGTGTTGAGATGTAGATGAGGAGCTGTGTGGAGTATGTGAAGTAGTTGGTGAGTGTGAGGCTGGGGAATGAGTTGGATGTGGGGAGGGAGGAGCTGAAGAAGGTTTATTGTTGGTGTGAGGAGCTGGTGGAATGTGAACTATAGGTGGTGGCTGATGTAGGAAAGATTGAATATTGGCACTTTCAATATGGGTGGGTGTTGTTTTTGGAGAAGGGGAATTGAGTTTCATCAAAAATGACATCCCTTGTAATAATGACCTTACCTGAGGGTAATAAGACTTTAAAGCCTTTGTGTTTGGAACTGTAGCCAAGAAAGGTGGAGGGAAATGATCTTGTTTGAAGTTTATGTTTGTTATATGGTCTAAGGTTGGGATAGCAAAGGCAGCCAAACACTTTAAAGGTGATGTAATTTGGTTTGTGGCCATAGAGGTTCTCTAATGGAGAGGAGAAGTGGAGAGATTTCACGAGTAACCTGTTGAGTGTGTATATGGCTGCACTAAAGGCATCATTCCAGTAGGTGCGAGGAACATGAGAGTGATATAGAAGGGCTAGCTCCATTTCAACAATTGTTCTATGCCTTCTCTCTGCAACTCCATTTTGGGTTGGGGTGTAAAGTCAGGAGAGTTTGTGATTTATGCCAGAATCAGTGAAGAATAGAGGTGAGAGCTCTAAATTCTCCACCCCAATCACTTTGGATGGCTTTAATTTTGTGGTTTAGTTGGTTTTCAGCAAGATTCTTGAAATATTGGAATGCCTCTTTGACCTCTGATTTGAGTTTAAGAAAGTAAATCCATGTGAATTTTGTGTATTGATCAACAAAGCATACATAGTATTGAAAGCCATTAATGGATTTAATGGGAGATGGATCCCAAACATCAGTATGAACAAGTTCAAGGGGATGAGAATATGTAGAATCAGATAAAGAGTAAGAGAGAGAGTGGCTTTTAGCTTGTTGACAAGAACAACAAATAAACTTATCATTCATTGAAACCGAAAGGTTACATGATCTCATAACTTTAGAAACAACATCAAGTGCAGCATGGCCTAGTCTAGAGTGCCACAGGGTAATTTCATTTTTCTTATCAAAATTTGCAACATTTGCATAAAGTAAAAGAATGTTGGAAGACTTCTTGGACTGGTTTGAGGCAGGAGAGGAGCAGTTGATGTCAAAGCTGTAAAGACCCCCTTTAAGTGAACTGAAGAAGTACTTGGTGAGTGTCCTGATCCTTTACAAAAGCAAAGAATGGGAAAAAATTCAAAGTAAACTGAGTTGTCATGAGCAAATTGAGAAACACTTAGTAAGTTTTTGGTGATAGTAGGAACATGAAGTAAATTTCTGAGGAGAAATTGTCTAGATGGAGAAGATGAGTTAGGGAATGTGGAGTTGCCAATGTGTGATATAGACAAACTTGAGCCATTACCAACATGAAGCCTGTTAGAGCCTTGATATTCTGAAGCTAGGTTGAGGTTGAAGAGTTCATTTGTAACATGGTTGGAGGCACCTGAGTCAGCAAACCACAGTGAGTCTAGGTTGTTGTCTGGTGAGGTGACTAGAGCACTGAGGTGTGATGGCAGTGCCTGAGGTGCTATGTGTTTTCCTTGAGGTTGGGTTGTGTTGGCTTACATTGTTGTGGGGGCTGGATAAGTAGAGTCATACCTGTGGTAGCACCTCTCAGTTGTATGGTTGTTGAGGCCACAGAGTTGGCAAGAAGGCATGTTATTATTGTTCCTATAGCCACGGCCACCCCTACCTCTATAGTTGTTAGAGCGACCTCTACCCCTCTGAGAGAAAGAGCCCCTTTGGTTGTTATAAGTGGGGTAGGTGGAGGTGTTCTTCTGATTTTTGGATGTGCTAGAGGTGAGGTTGACACTAGATAGAGATCCATCAGGATTAACAATGCTTTGAACTCCAATATCTATCCTAGATTCTAGGTTAAGTAGCATAGCATAGACCTCATTGAGTGTATATGGCTCCACTCTAGAGGTAATAGCCACCACTGCTGGGTTATATTCAGTGCCAAGGCCAGCTAGTATGTAGAGGATTTGGTTTTTGTCAGTGACTGGTTCACCTGCTATGCCAAGAGCATCACAGCATGCTTTTACCTTTCCTAGGAACTCTCTCATGGTGCGGGGGCCCTTTATCAAGGTTTGAAGTTGGAGCTTGTGATGCATCAGTCTTGCCTTTGAAACGCCAGAAAAGTTTGCCTCCAAGGAGAGCCACACATCTTTGGATGTTTTCTTCCCAACCATCATAATCAGGAGATTTTCACTTAAGGAGGATAGAAGCCATGAAAGAAGTAGCTGATCTTGACTGAGCCAAGCTGCATATGCAGGATTGAGAAGGAGCTGAGATGTGTTCTCATCAGTGATGAACTTTTGAGGTGGTTCATGCTCAGCATCAATGAAGTTCTCTAATCCATAGCCAATGATTGCACTGTGAGTTTGTTGTTTCCAGAGGAGGTAGTTTGAATCTGTGAGTTTAATGGAAATTAGTTGATGTTGGGGTTGAATAAACGAGGGTGTGGTGGGATTTTGGGTGTTAGGTGTGCTGTATGTTGAAGTTTGAGAAGACATGATGTTTTTGAAATGGTAGATCTGTAGATCTGTGAGTTAATAGTGATTCATGAAGCTTTTAAAACAAGAAGATGAAATGGATCTGAGGGAGACAGGTAGGAAATAGGTTCCAACGGTTGTTTAATGCTCTGGATACCATATTGAGAAACCAAAATGTATATCTGAAGATTAAGCAAAATCGAGATGAGGAAGCAAGCCAAAACTGTGAGCTTACATTTTCATGAAAACTGCAGAATAACTTTTACATGGCTCATTGTTCTAGGGTTCCAAATGAGGTAAACTATTTATATGACCATGTGACTTGTATCCTACGGTTCTCATTTAATCCTCACTATCTATATCATTTTGCTTCCTTCTCTTTCCTCTTGCTCATGCATGGTGATGTGGCAGGTTCTCCATTTGACTCTCATTGACCATGCAATGTTCTTTATGATGACATGTCCAAGGAGTGTTGTCTGCTTTTATTGTGGAGTTTATGTATGCATTATGCACGTCTGCATGGAGGCCATATATGCTATCAGGGCCCGTGGGCCTCCCTCATTTTTTAAAAATATATATATTATATAATATATATAAAAAGAAAATATATAAAATATGTATAGAAATGTAAAAATTATATACAATATATTAGTAAATAAATTTTCTATGCTATTTTAATTTAACTAGTAATATTATTTTTTATTAGAAAATGTACTAACAATATTTGTATTTTACATTTCTAGATAAGCTTTTGAAAATATTTATAATGATTTATTCTTTCGGTCTCTTAATTGTAAATCAATTTAGTGATTTATAAAACTGAGTATTTAGTTCGATTGTTACATTTATGAATGTTGATTTTTTACTTTTTTTTTTTTTTTGTGTAACTTATATTTTAACTTTATTTAAAAAAAAATATTATAAACTCTCTCAACAAAAATGTTATGTAATGTGCTGCAAAAGTAAAATTTAAATTAATTTTTCCACCAGAAAAAACTTATTTTTCCATAAATTATAGATGTTGCACTTAAATTATAAATACATGATTTTTTTTTTTTTAAATTTGAGGGTGATACAGATTCTAAGTATTTAAAAACACAATGGTAAACATATCAATATTTATATTTATAGTAAATATATTTGTATATGAAATGATGTATTTCGACTTAAACTACATTATTTAACATTTTAAATCGGGTTCTCCTGAGTGAAATTTCTAAATCCGTCACTGTGTGACACCTAACTTTCCAAAAACTGATTCTGTTAATTAAGACAAAACTGTTACATTTTATATTAATTAAGTAATAATTATATTTTTTATTTTATCATATAACAGTTATTATTAGAATTAATAATTATATTTTACACTAAATTATATATGAAAGCTACATAAACATAAAAAGTTATATTGTAAAACTTTTTGTTCAACTTATTTATTAAAATATTTTATCTTTATACAAAGATAAATTCATTTTAATTAATGAAACAATATAAGTTTTATAATTATACTTATTATCCATATTTTTATAATGTATGATAAATTTTTTTCAAGATATTTTATTTTATGGAATTACATTAATTGTACTCAAATCTAATTTCTAAATATAAATTTAAAAATGACACTTGTTTTGAAATGAATATAATATAATTTATTATCAGTTGTGTCCACCGTACTAGTTGTGTACTAATTTTACATAGACATATTTTATGTAATTTTGCACAATTTAAATTTCATATAACATTGTTAATAAACTAATATAGGTAAATTGTATCACATATTGATTCTATATTTTTAATTTATAAACATTATTTAATGAACGTTTTTAATTTATAAATATTAATGAATATCCCTTACCCGTACATCGCACGAGATTCGTACTACTTTATATAGATAACAAAAATAAGAAAATAATAATATAAATTGTAACACCTTTTGGGAGCACATCAAAATATTTTTTTTAATTGCATTGCTAGCAATTATATATATGTAGATTTGAATAAAGAGGAATTTGTACCCCTTACTTTAAGTTATGAAATATATTACACTTATACACCTATTATAATATTATTTATAAATTTACTAGAACATGAATAAAATATTTCACTTCTACCTAAAACATTAATGATGAGGCTGTAACCGTTACAAAGTAATTACTTGGACAAATTATAAGCAATTCCAATAATAAATTCAAATCAGATATCTTCTTACAAAAAAAAGGGAACAATAAACATATATCTCTCTATCGTTGCTCTCTCTCCCTGCAAAACCTCCGACCGCCCAAGTTCACACCTCTTAACGCAAAGAAACCGTCTTCAATGCCGAAGACCAAACTACCAATTTTGAATAAAAAAAATCGATAAACGGTGCCGACGAAACCCGTTAAATTCATCTCTTTTTTTTTTTTGGTTTGGTGTTTCTTTGCTAATTTTTCATTCTGCACAAACAGTACTTTAATGGCTCCTAACAGCCGCGTGTATCAAAACGGGAGGCCCGATATTGCGAGGCGATCTATCGAGCTTGCCGGAGAGCAGACTTTCGAAACACGGTTGGCCCGAATATTACAATGGGAAGCTGGGTTTGGTTTATCGGGAAACATGCTCGGAAAAACCAGACCTGGTCAAGCGCGGGCTATCTTGTGGCGAAGATGTTGATTGAGGATCCTTCGCACTTAAGTATGGTCGCTATCGAGGAGGATAAGAACCTGAAGCCCATTTTGAAGCGATCGGCTTCTTGGACCTTTTGATCTTTGTATTGGAATGTGGGTTTCAGGTTATGAATTTCATTGGTTTCTTTCTCAAAGACATGGTGGAAAAATGGTGATTAGGGGTCCTTTTTTGGATGCAGAATTTGAAAGAGATGAATGAGTATTTTTTTTTATTTTATTTTTTTAGGAGGATATGAATTTTGAGTTCTCTAGGGGCATATGTGTTGATTCAATTCTCTGCTTTATTTTATGGGAACTTCTTGTAGTTGATATTCTCTGGTTTTGTTGATTGTTCTCGTTTCACTATGGGAAGTTCTTGTAGTTGATTTATTTTAAAGTACATGTACAGTATATCTACAGTATATGTTTACGGTAATATGTGTTGGATGTTGCATGTATAAACAGACAGTATATGTGGTGTGTTAAGGAGTATATGTTCAGTATATGCGGCGCAGAGGTCCGAATGGAAACGGGGCTTCTATCTTGCCTGGGTTGAGGAGAAAGAAATTGGAGGCGGGGTCGGGGACGTCTATGGCGGCAGAGGATAACGATCGGAGATGGATTTTTCATTCTCTGTATCCGTCATGAATGATCCAGTGTATCCCAAGCTTAAACCGGCGTCCCCAGTGCCCCGCAAGACAACGATACACTTAAAAATAAATTAATACGTAAACTATAGTATATTATCAGTTTTTAAAATGTATAGTATATCTATAGTATATAATCAGTTACACCAAGGGGAATATACCAGGTATACATGTTATATTAGTATATGTATCATATATTATTGGTATATAACAGGTCAACGATACACTTAAAAGTAAATAAATACATAAATTATAGTATATTTTATCAGTTTTTAAAATGTATAGTATAGCTATAGTATATAATCAGTTACACCAGGTGGAATATACCAGGTATACATGTTATATTAGTATATGCATAGTATATTGTTGGTATATAGAAGGACCACTGATCACTAAAAAAAAGTACTACGTTATAATTATGTAAAAGGTATAGAAATAGAATATTACAGTATATGTGTAGTATATTATCGATTTATAACAAATAAATACAAATAAGAAATATACCTCAGAAAATAAGATCGACGCGAATCTCTGTTTTTTTTTTTTTTTCTTTTAACGAGAAATATACTGTAGTTTATGTATTTATTTATTTTTAAGTGTATCGTTGTCTTGTGGGGGCACTGGGGACATCGGTTTAAGCTTGGGATACAGTGGATCATTCATGACGGATACAGAGAATGAAAAATCCATCTCCGACCGTTATCCTCCGCCGCCATAGACGTCCCCGACCCCACCTCCGATTTCTTTCTCCTCAACCCAGGCAAGATAGAAGCCCCGCATATACTGAATGTATACTCCTTAACACACCACATATATTGTCTGTCTATACACGCAACATCCAACATATATTGCCGTAAACGTATATTGTCCATATACTGTAGATATACTGTACATATACTTCAAATAAATCAACTACAAGAACTCCCCATAGTGAAACGATAACAATCAACAAAACCAGAATATCAACTACAAGAACTTCCCATAAAATAAAGCAGAGAATTGATTCAGCACATATTCCCCCAGAGAACTCAAAATTCATATCCTCCTAAAAAAAAATAAAATAAAATAAAAAATACTCATTCATCTTTCAAATTCTGCTAGCCGATTCACCCATTTTGGAATGCGATTTCCCGTAAGCTTATAGCACATATCCTCACAAAAATGGTTGCAATTCTTAACGACTAGATGATACGTGTTGCCATTGTAGTTCACAGATTGGTGCTCCATAAATTCCCGAACTTGTTCACGTTTCAAATGTGTTGTACCAATGAAAATCGACTTCCGGAATCTAAACCCAGGGCATTGTTTCTGGTCGATTCCGATTTATGATCTTTCAGTTTCTTTTTTTCTTTTTGGTTCTCGTATTAAATTTGCGGAAATCACGTCCAAGATATAAGGAACGTGGACATTATAAATGGTTATAGATATTAAGGCAATCACGTAATTATTATTTGCCCTTTAGGTATATAGCCAAATATTTGTTATTGGATGGTAGTTTTGAAATGTCTTTTATTTCATATAGTATGTATAAAAATTTCCCTTGAATAAATGACTTGTCTGGCAAGTATTGGGCTGGACCAGTTAAACCTTAGAAAGGAAGAACTGGGGCCCGATGTATAATAATGTAAGTGGATTGATATGTCGTAAATTAAAACAAACATTCACATTTATATTCTGAAATATAATACTTTTATTTATATTATTTTTTAAAGTATGACACTTCGCTTAA